GTGGGAGGGGGGTTCCAGCAGATCCTTTGTATTTTCTCTGATAACCCCTTCACATAAGGCAGGCAGACTGAGTTTTCTGAGTGTTGTTGTCCTCCTCCTCTTGTACCCGCCTATCCCAGTTTTGGGGATCTGCTGCCATGTACCCAGGGTAGTTGTTACGTTGTAGGGTACTACTTATACTGACCAATTCTTTATCTAATGTCTCTGGGTCGCCACTTACGACTTTTTGCTCAGTGTTGTAAGCAACGGACGTTCCCTTTCTTTACTCTCTATGGATGGTAGGAGTTGAAATTGAGCTATATATATATATATATATATATATATATATATATATATTTATTTTTATTTTAAAAAATTATAACATAAATATGTAATAAAATCACTACAAAAATAGCCATTTTGTTTCAACACCCTCGGTGTCTTATCAAGTGATAATGTTGAATGCCTATGACAATATATATATATATATATATATATATGTAGAGAGAGAGAGAGATTTTCCAAGCGTAGCTTGGATGTAACCTAAGGCCGAAAGTAAGAGGCACCCAGTGAGGATCGAAGTCACTCGTAATTGTTCTAGCGAGACAAGCTTGCTAACCATTACACCACCTCGAGGTGCCCGATATATATATATATATATATATATATATATATATATTGTCATGGGTCCTTACCTATAATTACAGAATGAACTCTTCCTAACACTATGTATACTACGCCTCTCAAGAGAGAGGGTTGAATCAAGCCGAGCTTCTCGACTTGACGGTCGAACTCTCTGCCTCTGAGCAGAGAAGAACCCGGACGTTCGTGGAGGTTGACCAACCCGATCCCGTTTATACGGGTTCTACGGGCATTTTTTTGGCCGAACCTACGGGCTCGGGAAACCCACGATAAGCTCGGCCTTGTGTCACATGCAACCCTCGTAGGGGGGTGGCTGATACCGAATCAAGCCGAGAAGCTCGGCTTGACGGTCGAACTCTCTGCCTCTGAGCAGAGAGGAACCCGGACGAGGTTCTGTAAACATTGACTAGCTGAAATCTTTTTAGGCTGCTCTGTCAAACTCTCGTCTGGGGTGGTAGACAGCTATTTGACCCCATTTTTTACCGGGTCTACCGGGAATTTTTGCTAGAGCATACGGGCTAGGATACCCCATGTTAAATTCGGCCTTGTGCCATATCTGACTGCATAGAACTATACGGTTAAACTCTCTGCCTTCGGTCAGAGAGGAACCAGGCGAGACTCTACCTTCGGCATAGCCTCGTCTTAGGTGGTAGACCGATCCCGTTTTTTTACGGGGTCTAGAGGAAATTTTTGCCCGAACCTACGGTAAATTCGCCTTTGTGCCATATCTGATCGCGTGGGGAGATTAGTAAATATACAAGCTGGAATATGTTCCAGTTGCGCTGGTCAAACTCACTGCCTCCAGGCATAGAGGATCCCCAGACAAGGCTGTGCCGAAGTGCAATCACGTCTCGAGAAACAGCTACTAGTCCCTGTTTTTTACGGGAATTTTTGGCTGAGCCTACGGACTCGGATACCCCACATTAAATTCGGCCCTGTGCCACATTTGATCGGGTGGGGCGGTTAGTAAATATTACTAACTGGGATTTGCTACTCAGCTCTTAGTTGCTGTCGAATTCTCTGCCTTCCAGCATAGAGGAACCCGGACGAGGCTATGCCGAAAAACAGTCTCGTCCGGGTAGGTAGACTGACCCGAAGCGGGGTTACGGGGAGTTTTTGGCCGAGCCTACGGGCTCGAATAACCCAGGTTAAACTCGGTCTTGTGAAACATTCTTCCCTGTAAGGAGGTTGGTAAATTTTTCTAGCTGGGATCTGTTGAGTACGACTTATTCTTACGCATGAACTGCCGACCTTCCAGTAGTATCACTCATTACTGGATTAACTTGCGACGACCGTGCGCATAACTGTTACCTTTATTCTTATTGTACTGGGTTTTTCTATTAAACCTTTACTTATTTTATCCACCTTGTTTTTGAAGTATATATTTCTATTAGCACACAATATAACATCAGCTGAACATAATTATATCAGTGTGTTCTTACAAAAAGGAAGGATACTAACTCGTATAATACAATTTACACAGATATGGTGGGTACTTTTCAACATTCTGAAACAATATATACAAAGATCCTAAATCAGATTAATGAAATATTTTTGATAAGACGATACAAATATGATACACTCATGTCGGAGTTGATAAACACTAAGGTATTTTTGGTCGAATTACTTCATGTTGGATGTTTTGGTTAGGTCTGAGAAATATAAGATGAAAACCATGACGGGAAGATAGATAGATAGATAGATATAAATAGGCATAGGTAGATAGATATGAACAGAATGAGATGTAAACAAATGAACTAGATAGATAGATAGATAGATAGATAGATAGATAGATAGATAAACAGAGACAGATAGATAGACATAAACAGAGATCGATCGATCGATAGATAGATAAAGAGATAAGAAGACGAAGACCCATTGAAATTGATGCACTTATTTCATCAGTACTTCTTCTTTCTCTAGTATATATATATATATATATATATATATATATATATATATATATATAGTCTTAACGTGTGCTATATTTATGGGATAAAGTGCTCAATATCAGTTATAGAGCGTGTGCAAATATAAAATGAACTTAGAAGTCAACACTTAGAGGCGACATTCTGTTTCATGCTAGACTCAATCGTCAGGCTACGAGTGCTGTTATTTTTCTCGGCTATTTATATATAAGGGTCAGCGGTGCATTGTGGGTAGTCTATTTTGGCGGTTATTTTACCGGAAGTCGTTTATTTGTTTATTTATTTGGGTTAAATTATTTTGCTTGTAATTATTTATTTTTATTTATTTAGCTATGTTTTTCTTCCGATTTTTCTACTATGTTTATAATCTAAGTAATATTTTCGTCATAATGGTTTGTTAATTTGTTTATTATTTATTTTATTTATTTTCGTTCATTGATTTTGTTTTTTATTTTTTTATTTATTTATTCTATTTCGTCTATTCTAACGGGTGTAATTTGTTTGGGTTGATTTATTTTACATATTTTATTGTCATTTTCTTTATTTATTTTATTTTATTTTATTTTTATTTTATTTTATTTTATTTTTTTTCAGTTTTCGATTTTTAAGTAACGTAGTAAAAATTTGTTTTCATGTCTGTATTTTGAGATGAGCTCGTATCTTTTATTTAATAATTCATTTTGGTCTGGGAAGGTAATGATAGCTATTTTTTCCTCCAAGCTTGCAAGTTTTTTTTGTTTTTTTTCTTTTTTGCAAGTTTTTGATTGGATGTTGTAGGCTGAGTAGTGAGTTCGATCCTCATTGGGTGCCCCATACTTTCGGCCTTGTACCACATCTAAGCCGCGCTTAGAAAATCACTGTTGGTCTCTACTTTGAATAACAAGAATGTATTATGCTCTAAGTTGAAATGTTGATCCTTCTTCCAGTTGTGACATCCTGATAAAGTTTTTCCTTCTAATGACCCCTCTTTTATAAACTTAATTTATGGTTCTTGTATGGACTTTGACGATGGAAGCTAGAGTATGAATGGTGGTACCATTTCTGAAGGCCTGAATGAATTGTGTTTTTTGGATCCTAAAAGTTTTATTGGATGGACAATTATCCCATGCTGTTGCAGGATTTGGACAATTTTGCTGTTAAATGTCTGGTTCTATTGTTAATTGTTGTGTATGATACACCTAATTTACATAAGCGGACTACCCCATATAAATATGGGTTGGTACCGGAAGACAGGGAAGATAGAATTAAGAAATTGAATCCAGAGACTCTGCCCGACTGCGATTTAGTCAACCCATTATGCAGGAACAGTCTTCCCAAGAATATACCAAACTAACTGTAAATATTGTCCTATTCTTTGTTTCAATACATTTTGTTAACGTACATTTTGTGTTGTATTATTCCGTTTATTTAAGCTTCAACATTAATATTTCGGTCCCTCAATCATGAATTTACGACCTGCAATATAACAGAATATAATCTTTGATGGTGAATATCTTTGTTTAAATGTCCGTATAACCACTCTGATGATGACCTCATGTGAGTCGAAAGCTTACATCAAGGAACAGCATAATAAAAAATATCCAAATGTTGGACAATTTTTGTTTTTATTTTCACACGAAAGAACGGTTCATGATCAAACAGTAGGCATTCGTCGTTTGTTATATTTAACAATATATTTTAACATAATGATCTTCTGCCACCATACAATATATATATATATATATACAATATGAAATAAATTTTAAAACTCTCTCTTCCTTCTCTAAACTCGACCATGTCTCTCACACTATTCCTCACTACCCTCTATGCCACCTTATGTAAGCTTAATACTGCCCGTTAAAAGTGTAAATTTTAAATTCATTTTACGTTTCACCTTTGAATGTAAAGTCTGAAGATTCAGAGAAAAATAAAATTCTCTGGTGAAATAAATTATAACTAATGGAGCCTTAAAGTGGTCTGTTTTTCTTTAAATTAAATTATTCGCTCTGACTTAACATTGAACTCTCTTGGGATTATCCATACTGTTTACCAAGATTTTCGTTTCTTAACTATATATATATATATATATATATATATATATATATATATATATGAAATGAGAAGGAATCGAATATAAATTCTAACGTTCGTTACATTAATTTAAAAGAGAACTCAATACAAAAATTACAGCAAAATTCTTTATTTTCAGATATTAAATCAATATGTGAATGAACGCTACATAAATGCAATCATGTTTCGATGTGCACTAACAAATCTCATCAGGCGTTAGTAGACAATTCATTATTTAAATAAATTGTCTACTAACCAGTCATTTATTAACGACTGATGAAATACGTTAGTACTCATTGAAACATGATTGTAACGTTTATTCTCATGCTGATCTCATATCCTAAAATAAAGTATATATATATATATATATATATATATATATATATATATATATATATATGTGTGTGTGTGTGTGTGTGTGAGAGTTTAAATTGTACCTTAATTTTTTTGACATTCTTTTGTTTTATTTCCATCATCGTTGGCATATAATATCCCGCATTGCCATAACAGAGGACCTGGCAAGAGTGTTGAAACGTTGTAAAAATCTGTCTACTTTGATTATTTATATAAACAGTATATTTTTTTATTTTTGTCTACCGGCCTAAATATTCGAGAAAACTTATTAAAGAAATATAAGCGCTTTCCGACAGGACTCAGACTGGGAAATAATAATAGAATGTAAATAAATATATTTTTAATAAATGTATATTTTCGAGAGTCTTGGAAAGATTTGCTTTAATAATACACACACACACATAAATATATATATACTAGCAGCATGGCCCGGCGTTGCCTGTGCTTGATTCAAAAATCGCACGACTCGTACAGGAATCGCTATCACTTGACTTAAAATATTTTTACTTTTCCTTGCCTTTAAAGGAGTGCTATTTGTCGTGCTGATGTTGCTATATGCCTTACTTCTTGCCTATCTCACACTGCGAATTTTTTATAAGCTCTATGCTAAACATTAAATCTAAACATTAAAGAACTAAGCAAAATGAACACAAAACTATCAGCTTTTAAAAAGGACTCGTAACTGGAAAAACCGAATGAAAAAATAATATTAACAACAAATACTTTTTCACACCCAACCCAGTTCTGCGGAATCAGAATCAACGTTGTGTTTAAGCAAGCGAATGAGCGAAATGGAGTAAAGTGAATTTTAATTCTTCTCACTTGTGACGAATGCAGCTATCATTTTTTTTTTTTTTTGGCATGCTAGCGTTCGCGTCAGTCAGCTGTTGGGTCTCACGCTGGCCAATAGAATCTTGCTGCCTATTCGTGGCAGCCAGCTATAGGCTCTCACTATGACCAGTAGAAAATGGCCGCAAACTACACGAAAACTGCCGTAGAAGCATGAAAAAATCGATTATTTCCACTATCGATGGGAGTTGGGAAATGCAAAGTCGGTCTTGGCGTTTTTGCTAACTTGGAGCATGTGCATGTAAATCCGTCAAAAATTGGGGCCCTGCATTCGTTACACACACACACACACACACACACACACACACACACACACACTTTTATTTATATATATATATATATATATATATATAGAGAGAGAGAGAGAGAGAGAAAGAAAGAGAGAGAGAAAGAGAGAGTGAGAGAGAGAGTGAGAGAGAGAGAGAGAGTACAGTGTATGTTTTTTTGTGTCCAAGCAACTCCTGTGCTTCCACCGGTCCGATTTTAATGATTCATAGCTCATTCCAAAGCCCAACAAAAGTTAGGCATAGGGAACGATTTTCATTGAGTTCAGATTCAGGGTTAACAGAGTATGCGAAGTTAAAGATGTATATTATACTAGCCATTATCGTTGCTTTCATGGTTCAAGGGGAGTAACTCGTATTTTCCTTTTGTATCCATAATTGCAGCTAGCTTAAAATTTTGAACTAGCTAAAATTTTACGCTGGCATAAATGGCGCTCAATCGAGCAGCATTTAAGCTAGCTCTTGTGAAGGACTCTGGGTTTGGCCATCATCAGCATAGGTAGAAAAGAGTAGATGTGATAGGCATCAATAAACTACAGAAGAACTCAAAATTGATCGCTGCATTTCATTTAAGTATATGTTTTAGCTTAGTTTTTAAAAGTTCAACGATAATTCTTCTGCTGCCACTTAATTTAAAGACGATTTGATGTACGTAGGTCCTTATTTTCCGTATAAACAATTATCTTTATTTCATGGGTGACAAAACAGGAGACACTTTTATATTTACACACGCTCTATCCCTGATATTGAGCACTTTATCCCATAAATATAGCACACCTTAAGACTATATTTCTTTATATATATATATATATATATATATATATATGTTCGATCCCCACTGAGTGTACAATACTTTCGGCCTTGTGCCACATCTAAGCTATACTTAGAAAATCACTATATGTATATATATATATATATATATATATATATATATATATGTGTGTGTGTGTGTGTGTGTGTGTGTGTGTGTGTGTGTGTGTGTGTTCGCATTCTGACAGAAGTGAATCAGGTTCGAATCTCATCATGTTCGTTTCGTCAGGAAGGCGACTAGAGGGTGCACCGGAAATTTTTACAGCTAACTCGGGTGTTCGGGCGCAGCCACATTTAACCGACTGTGAATCACAACCTGACCTTGTAGGGGCTTGCGTAAATACAAATTCTGTAGAGTAGTCTGTAACACGTTTATTTATCATCACTCATTTGCGTCTCCGGGCTGAGTGCGATCAGGAGCGGCTCCGTCAAAGGACAGTGGCGCAACCGTGGAAAATTATACTGAGAGGTGCCCAGCAACTCGCACCGAAGACAGTTCAAGCGACGGTTGCGGAGGCTCGGGCAATTTTTGTTCCTAGCTCGGGTGTATGCGCTCGGCCTCCCAACATTAAACCTTATGTCAAAACCTGACCTCGTGCGTGGGG